CGCGGGGCTAACCAGCAGCTGCGGCCCGACGCGCAAGGGAAGCTTCATTTTGACTCACTTCAATTCGTGCATTTACCATGTTGGCTGCGCGCCGCTATCCGCACCTGGGGACGGAGCTCGACGGACTAGGATCCATTGGTCCTGAGATGGCCCACCGAGAGGCCTCCATCCAATCCTGTGGACAGCAGCTACGGCGACGGAGGTTTGCATCGGAGAGTAGCCTACCCAGGGTGGCGGCGCTGCACCTGTGCACGATTCAATGCAGGTACTTGGCCTACGCTAGTGGATGCACAGCATGCACAACTCCAGTCATGCTGCTCCACATATACAGGCAAACATTGAGACTGAAGCAGCAGGGCGGGAATGCAACATGTGACGAGTATGTGCGAGCACGAGCGGAGCGCGCCAGCCGGACCACAGTGCTGCGCGTGCGCAAGCTTGGGTTGCTCGGACGCTTGCATCACCGCAGTGCTAGCGGCGCACTTGCGCTGCGCGGCCTCGTCGCGCGTGTCGATCGCGGGTCGGTCGCGCGACATGGCGCATCATGGGCGCGTCGCGTCATCGATGACCTGGCATGGCTACGCAGTGCGCATGCTATTTTGAATCAGCTATCAGACCCGCGGGATGATGTCTTCAGCGCGGGAGGAGCAACACATCTAGTGCCCACTGCCTGCCTGGCGACGTGGACGCGGCTTCGCCGTGAGAGCGGAGGCAAAATCTTTCGGGCGCGCAGCAGTGGCCAAGCGTGCCTTTAACCAAGTGGTCGAAATTCCAAGGCCAGCAGGAGGCCCATTTGCGCTTGCAAACTTACGGCGCCCACTGCATCTGACCCAGCCCCGGCTCCATATTTTGAACGCGTGTAGCGCGGGCGTCGAGGCGCATCCAGCAAGAGCGCCAGACAGCGCATGGCACGTGCGCATTACAGCCAGGTCAACATCGTCTCATGATTCAGGTTGGAAGGGGCCACTTGCATGGCTTGCTCAGCTGCCTTCGCCAGCAGGAGATCTCAGAGGGGTCGCATTTCTTTCCGCGCCCCTCACAGCTGCCTCGCTCGTTGCATCCCCGGCGCCGTCCTCGGCCCAGAGAGCGCCGAGGAAGGCCGACTGCGGGGGGTGGCAGACCTGGCCAGGCAGACGAAGGCAGCCGACCCAGCAACAGTTGAATGCCCGCCCGACGGGCTGCACGCATCGGCGATGCTAGTCGCAGCTCTTTTCGCGGAACAAGTAGCGAAACAGATCCCGCAGAGCCCCGAGGCTTGCTGCGAGCTGCCCCCCAGAGGCCCCACGTGGGGCTTTTCAATCGCGCCGACGCCCCCCGACATTAGAGGGCCCATCGTTCGCCGACAGGTTTTGGAGGTACCGTGCCCAGGGCTGCGAAGACTTCGCCGCTGAGACTGTGCTGCGCAGCGTGCGCATGCCCACCATTTTCGCGTTGGACCTTTTCTCTGGCAGGAGGAGAGAAGGAGACATCCAGACATCGGTCGAGCGTGAATGCCACCTCGACTTGTTTCCAAGTTGCGATGCAAAGTGTCGACGCAGCCATCAACGGTGAACGTGGGTATCTGGCGCGGAAGGCCACGGTCGAGACATGGGGGGAACGAATTCTTGCGCGGCGCGTTTGGAACAACGGAGGGGGGGGGGGGCGCGCGAGACGCGGGGCGCCGCCAGGTGGCTCGACGGGGGCACCACCCCGAACGCGCCAACGGATGGTTTTGGGGGGCCCCGCAAGTGACGGACCGACAGTCAACGCATCTAGATGTTGGCAACCAGCTCTCATGCTACATGGAATGGCCTGCCGCACGGCGGCATGTGCGAGCGCCTGGGCGGAGCGTCCTTGCCCGCCGCGCCGGCGCCCGAGCAGCGTCCATTGGGGGCCCCGTCGGGTCCGTCCGCCCCAGCCCAGTGCCTTTCGTAGCCGACTTTGATCAGCGCGTGCAAGGCCGCACGGGCCCGGGCGAGATAGGCTTGGCACCCGCGCGGATCATCGGCTTAGGAATGCCCGCGCGAGCTGCTCGCCTCCTCAGCGCCGTCTACAACAGGAAATGCCCCCATCGGGGCTCAAGAGGCGGGGGTCGATGCAAGCGGGGGTCAGCCAGTGCGCCGGGTCCTGCAGGATCTTGCGAAGACCCCTTTCTGGCTGACTCGGATTAGCGACCCGCTCGTGGCCGCGAGGCGGCCGCGCATATTGGCCGACCCGGGCTTGCGAAGACCAGCGTTGCAGTTTTTTCTCTGCGCGCGCGGGCGCGTTGCAGGAGCCATCTCGGGATCTATCAGCAAGCCGAATGCTAAGCGATTGCGATGCAAACGCGGGGGGATGGGGGCCCAGACATGGCGCAGGGGCCCCCCGGCATCTTCGCCGACGATGTCGGGGAATGATTCGCTGAAGCACCCGACTTCGCGCATGCCAAAAAGAAAGAGGCGAGGTGCGACCCCGACCTGCATGGGTTCAGGGCCGCCGATCCCACGCCGATTCAGAATCCCGTCCCCGCTCGCGGGACCAGGGGAGAGAACGCGAGGCGGGGGGTGCCCCCGCGCCCCCCCTTCGCCTCCGCGCCCCCCCCCCCCTCCCTCTCACCTCGGCTCAGCTGTCTCTCGCCGTTGCCGGCGTGGCGGGTGCCGGACGGCGCCGCGAGGCCAGACGCGCCTCGGACCACAGGCGACGAGCGCCCGGCAGGGCGCCCTCGCCTTCGAGGGCATGTTCGAGGCTGGCCCCGGCCCTCCTGGCCCTCCCATCCGTGCAGTCTTGGAGTAGTAGGCCCTTGCGCTTCTTCAGAGCCCAGCGCCCGCGCTCGCGCCGCGTCCCCGCCGCCGCCCCCCCCGTCCCGCGCGCGCGCTGAGGAAAGGAGGGCAGAGTCGGAGGAGAAGGGCGGCGACTCTACTCCCTGGAAGCATCATCAACGATGTCAATATGCCCCCTTCCACGCGCCCCCCTCGCAAGCCCCCGCAACATTCGTTTTTTGTTGTTGTTGTTTATTTTCTTCTTTCCGGGAAGTGCGCAGTTCGAAGACAATGGTATGATGATCCTCCGCCGCGCTTTTTTTTTTTTCTCTCTCTCTCTCTCTATATATATAGACATCTCTATATCTAATCTTGTTTGGGACTTCAGCGCGATAATCAACGTGACTGTTGCGTCCTGACAGTGCGCCAGACCACCGTTTCTGGGATTGCAGCTTCACGTGTAAATTCGACAGCTGCGCCCCGACAGTCCCCATTCGCTCCAGAACCCCGTTCCTGAACTTTCACCCATGCGAGCGTTTGGAACTGCTGCAAACTTTCAAAACGCAGGCGCGTGGCGCTAAGGCGATACTTGCACTTTAGGAAAGAATCGTTCTTCATCCGTAAAACCGCTGCATCTTTTGAAACAGAAAGCACCTGTGCGCGACGCTAAAGCCCCAACCACATTTTGAGAATGGGTCCGCCCTCCATCATTGAAGCTGCTGCGAACTTTTAAGATGAATGCGCGCGGCGCTACGTTTTGAAAACGATCTCCCCTCCATGTTCGAAGCGGTTGCATGCTTTTGAAGCGAATGCGCGCGGCGCTGGCGTGAGAGCAACATTTCGATGAGGACCTGCCCTCAATCTTTGAAACCGCTGTAAGATGTTAGGACGGATGTGCGCGGCGCCAGGGCGATAACCACATATTGAAAACGGCCTGCCCTCCATTTGTGGAGCTGTTGCAAATTTCGAGCTGCGGATCATAAGTGAGAGGGAATATGAGGCGACACGCCTGGCTCGCCCTGCCGACACGCTTGGGTGTGCAACGTGGGGGAATCAGTTTCATGGAAGAGGGATGGAGGAGGATGACAATGAAGAACAACAATGGTGAGGGGGCGGGGGACAGGAGGAGGAGAACGGTGGTTGTGAGGTATGGGGCAGGTATGGGGCATGGATGGATAGGTGTGGGAGGACGCACAACAGCAGCAGAGGATGGGGTGCCCTGGAAATCAGATGCTTTCTGGCGGAGGGCATCCGCGAGTTTCATCACTCCGGGTCAAGAGCAGGAACAGGAGATGGACGCGAAATAGTGTTTGCAGGATGAGGAGAAGGATGAGGACGAGGAGGACAATGAAGAGCCATTTGGAAAAACAGACGAAGCAGCACACGAGGGGTTCAGCAACCGCAGCATATTTTTTTTCTAAGCCGAGTTTTTCACTGTGCGCTGTCGGGTCCCCTTCCCCAAGGAAGTCCGCCATAGAGGCGGCCAACAATTTCGAAAACCTCATAATTCCGATGTGTGCACATGATCCGTGGGCCTCTGAAACGTTTCAGTCGCTCGACATTGTCTATCCATTTCAAGAGCCTGAGGCGCGATAAGTCAACATCGTTTCCCCCGAAGCTGCGGGAAAGAATTCGAATCCAGCCTGATGGCCCTCAAATCGGGCTTCGTGCTCGTTTTCAAACCTCCGATGTCGTGACTTTCTCATAACGTGGACCACTGGATGCCTTGCCCTTATCCCCGAGACCAGATTTTCATCTCGAGCTGTTTTCTGACAGGCCCGGGGCCTTGTAAGGCGACAGAACTTGTCATTTTGACTTCCTCACAACGAGAGGAGAGCCGAGCCACTGTCTGGAGCTTTTGTGTAGCCTGTCGCGCCGCTGGTTTATGGCCCACCACGCTTCGGCGCGACACGCTGACCACGCCCCAGTCTCCATGCATCAAAGTTCCTGGCTTGTTCGAGACTCCCCTCTCGCCAAGCGGAGCAACGCGCTATCAGCTCGCATTGCATGCGTGTCGCATGGTCCGCTGTCGCGACACGCTACGCTACGCAAATAAGCAAAAGGAAGACCACCCCGACATCCTCAACGGGCGTTTATTGAACAGCCGCTGACGTTTACTATACAGCTCTACCCTGTTTGATCCCCTTCCAAGGTGCGTCTGACTAAAAGGGCATCGCTTGGCGGGGATCTGATTACAAAGGTGGCTCGTATGCCTCCTTCAACCGTTCTCACGAAGGTCTTCCAGGAACTGCCTCCTGATGGCGTCTCCCCGGCCACCCCGAGGACAGGGAGAGCTCGCGCACCAAGGGCGGAGCTGCCCCCCAGCGGCCCCCGAGCTGCGCTCGCGGCCTGTGGTTGCGGTCGTCGGATGGGCTCGGTGTCGTCGTTTGGTCGGCCAAGGGGCTACGGAGCTCGGCGAAGGAACTCGGTGCAAATATGCTCCAGAATCCGACAGCTCGAGAAGCTGGGGCGTTTAGAGCCCCCGAACTCCGCTGTCGGGCTGCGATTGCGGTCGGCACCAATGCTGCTGCTGCTGATGCTGATGCTGATGCTGCTGCTGCTGCTGCTGATGATGATGATGCTGCTGATGATGATTAGTATGGTGATGATGCTGATGATGATGGTGATGGTGATTGTGGCGATGCTGATGGTGGCGATGCTGATGATGACGATGATGATGACGATGATGATGGTGGTGTTGATGATGACGATTATGATGTCGATGGTGGTGGTGACGAGGGTGATGCTGCTGGTGGTGATGACGATGGTAATAATGATGATGATGCTGATGATGATGACGATGATGATGATGACGACGATGACGATGACGATGATGATGCTGATGATGCTGATGCTGATGACGATGATGGTGGTGACGATGATGATGATTACGATGCTGATATTAATGATAAGGGTGATCATGATGGTTGATGATGATGACCATGATACTAGTGATGATTAGGATAATGAGGATACGGATGATACTGATGATGATGATGAGGACGATGCTGATGGTGGTGGTGATGAGGATGCCGATAATGATGAGGAGGATGACGAGGTTGTGATGATGCCGATGATGATAATTGTGATGACGATGACGATGTCGATGACAGTACAGATGATGATGATGATGATGATGATGATGATGATGATGATGAGGATGATGAGGATGATGAGGATGATGAGATGATGATGATGATGATGAGGATGATGATGATGGATGATGATGATGATGATGATGATGATGATGATGATGATGATGATGAGGATGATGATGATGATGATGATGATGATGATGATGATGATGATGATGATGCTGATGCTGATGATGATGATGATGCTGATGATGATGATGCTGATGCTGATGCTGATGCTGCTGATGATGATGATGATGATGATGAGGAGGAGGATGATGATGAGGATGATGAGGATGATGATGATGATGATGATGATGATGATGATGATGATGATGATGATGATGATGATGATGATGATGATGATGATGATGATGATGATGATGATGATGTCGCTATTAAGGATGTCGGCGATGATTGATAATTCTCGTCATGATGGAAAGGGATCCGCGCGGATTTCTTGGATCGGCGCCTCCGGCGCTGCCCTTGGGGCGCCCGGCGCGCCAGGGAGGGGGGCCCAGCGCCGATGCAACAACTTCGCGCGGACCTTCGAACATTCGTGTTCACGCATATTCATTTTCTTCCATCCTCGCCGTTTGGCTCTCCTCCAAGCTGCTCTGCCTGGCCCCATCGACGGTTGATCGGATGCGTCTGCCCAGCCGACGTCGCGACGATCTGTGAGGGTGGCCTGGGCGACGAAGTGGAACGCTGGGAATGGATCGTGGAGGATGGAGGGGAGGAGCAGGGGGTGAGTAGGAGGGGACGGGGAATCATGTGGAGGAGACGGAGAAGGAGGATGCCACCCTCCTCCCAGAACAGGGGGAAGGAGGAGGAGGATGAGAAGAGAGAGAGCGAGAAAGCGTGACGAGAGAGAAGGTGAGGAGGGGGAGGAGGAGGAGCAGGAGGGAGGAGGTTTGTTCACGGCGGCGAAGCGACTGCGGCATAAGGCTACAAGGGCGGCTTCAAAGGCGGCTGGAAGGGCGACTGGAAGGGCAAGGGCAAGGGCAAGGGCGGGCTGCGCGTCGGACCAGGCGACAAGGCGCAAACGTCTCCATGGAGGAGGGAGGAGAGCGGAGGCAGGTGCTAAGTTTCGTTTCCTCCTTGATGTCTTGCCCTGGGGACTTTTCGGACTGGATTTTTGAGGGGGGGAGGGGTGGAGGAAGGTGCGAAGCTAGGTTTCCTCCGTGAAGTCCTGTCTATAGCACTGGGAGTTTTGCTTTGTAGCGTTTCGTTACGGGGCCTGTTCTGTTTGGGCGGGGGGCGAGGGGCCCGGTGACGGAACGCTTTGCGCTCAGGGGCGTTGAGAAATGTCTGGGATAGCCAGGAATGTCCAGTGGGCACGTTTGTAGGGAATGGCCAGTGGGTATTTGGAGTAGCTCCGGGAATCCGCCAGAGTAGACGTGAATGGCTACTGGTCGTGGAAATCACTCGACATTCTCATGGCCAGCACGGCAATGAGGTGGGGAACAGCCGCCGGCGTGAATCGTGACGTTGCCAGGTGGCCTGATGCTCGAAGGCACGGCGTGGTGCTCGAAGGCGATGCGATGCTCACGCGCAGTATGGAGAGGACGATGACGACGACAAGCAGGAGCTCAATGCAACCCGACGATCACCCGCCCATGTACCGACGAGTTGAGCTCGCTCGGGGGTCAATGGCTAGCCAGGTCATCGGGCCTGGCCAGGCCGCCCCCCAGATAACCTAACCTTGTCGTCGGTTCCCTAAACATCTTGTCTCTGGGCAAGTGGGGTGTCTCCGCGATCCCAAACTCGTGGTCTGCGGTCGTAGCCTCTGGCCGTGGTCTCTAGTCGTGGCCCGTGGTCGTTTGTCTTGGTCTCTGGTAGCGGTCTCCTGTGCACGAACTCCTTGACCCGTGGTCTCTGGTCGCGACTCGTGGTCTCTGGTCTTGGCATTTGCTCGTTATCTATCGTGGGCACTGGTCGTGGCCCGTGGTCTCTTGCCGTGGCCTCTGGTCGTGGCCCGTGGTCTTCGGTCTTGATCTCTTGTCGCGGTCTTCCGTGATTTTTGGTCGTGGCCAGTGATCTCTGGGCGGGTTTTCGGCGCTTGTCTCTGGTCGGGGTCTCTGGTGGTGGTGGCCCTCGGTCTCTGGTCGTGGTCCCCCGTATGGTAAAGTCTAGCGCGGTTCTTGTGGTGCGCGACCAGATCCACCCGTTCACCTCACCATATAACATTCGTGCTTCATTCTATCGTGGCGCCATGGTGAAGTTGTCCCTGTCATAACCCGTCGTAGCCAGTCGCATCGGAAAGCTACTACTCCATGGCAGAGGCAGTGAAATACGTGAGCAATGGGGCCTTGGGGTGGCTCTCAACTTGTGTTGAATGTGGTCGGCAGCCAGGACAGTTTGATAGGGTCACGCGCGCATCTCAATCAAGTTGGTGATTTCATGTGTGCATCTCGATGATTGCGTGGACGTGCATTTCGTTGAACGTTGAGGGACGCGGTTGACATGCTCTGTTTACCATTGATTTTTGACGGATTTAGTTTTGCGCGCGCGAGAGCGCGCATGTGGCCAGCATTGGATGTGTGAAGACGGGTCGCAACATAAATATAGCATTGTCAGCCGCGAGGGTCCCGAAAGAGGCCAAAGAGGAACCCTCGCGGCTACAAGAGTTGCCCAGTCTCGAAGTGGCCGACGAGTGCAACCGCCCCTCAACGTGCCCTCAAAATGCTTTATATCAAACCCCAAGGACTCTAAAGAGAGACCCCAGAGAAACCCCCCAGAGACTCCCAGAGGCCCCCCAGAGGCTCCCAGAGGTCCCAAGGGCTCCCCGAGAGGCCTTCAGGACGGCCCCCCAGACGGCTTCCAACAGGCCTCAATGAGGCTTCGCTAGGCGGTGGGATATCTTCCAGCGTTGGTCGGAGGGAGGATGACCCCCTCCCCGAAGGGGAAGAATGGGCTTGGGAGAGGAAGCGATCACATAAGGTCGCGATGTGAGGGGGAAAGCAGGGTTGGAGAGGTCCGAGGAAGGGAAACATAAGAGGGATGATGATAATAGTGATGAGGAGGAGGAAGAAAAGGAGGAGGAGGAGGAGGAGGAGGAGGAGGAGGAGGAGGGGGAGAGGAGGAGTTAACTCTAACGAGGGTGATTCGGTCAGGAGAATGGCGGGTTTCTTGTTGCCGTGCGTGCGTCGCGATCGTAGCCATTTGGGCTCAACTGATTGATCGTTAGCGTGGCGGTTTGGCAACAGTTCGTTATCATTCCCGTGCTTGTTCCCCCCGAAGGTTTGAAAAGGTAGCGGAGCGAGGTTACCTCGAGAGCAATGGCGGGCGCTGCCGCTGCCGCGGCCGCTCTAGGACCAGGGTGTCCAGGGCGTGAGTTAAACATTCAACAGGACTGGGACAGGTGGTTCAAACTTACCCCTTCCCAGTTCATGGAGTTGTGCGAGGCTGCCTTCTACATTGGCAGTTGTAGTTGCGTGAGAGTCACGTTGCGAGCCAACCATGAAGGCATGACAGAGTTCATCGGACGACCAGCCGCCACCGGGATGATGAGCTATGGCTTTCGTGTCCCAGAACATGATTTCGCAGTTATGTGGTGAGTATGAGCATGTACGCCGACAACAAGTCGAACTGACGTAAGGACATTTCGAGCATCTAGAGGGTGAAGTGGATGCACACATAGCACTTTTGACAGCGTTTCCAAGATAGCGAAATCAATGGCCGAGAGCAAACGAAAATCTGTCGATCGAGGAAAGATCAGGGAATGGAGTACAAAGCTCCTGAACGTCCCATGCACAGGTCAATCTGAGCTACCGCAAGTCGCTCAAGAACCTGAGCAGCAGGCCGGAGACGATGGACGATGTGTTAGACCAGGGTGAAGACGACGTTGCGAGGATATTCCGTGGTCGGTGAACGGTGGCCGAAAACCCAAAGACGAACGTAGTTCAACAACAAGACGATGACGACAAAGGTGCATTTGAAAGGAAGAGTGACCGTAGGAACGAGTAAGATGAGGACTTGCGATTCATCCTCAATGACAAGCTGGGCAGAGTGGTGCCGCGAGGGAAGGTGAAGGGGTTGCACGAAGGAGACGAACAGCAGGCTCACCAGAAAATATATGGGTGGTATTCGGCAGTTCCCGCCGTTGACCGTTGAACCAAGGTGAGCTTGAAACCAGAGATATCGAACACGTGGCAGTACAGTGTCAGCAGTGGGCGGCGTTAGTGGAAACGCTTGAGAAGCGCGGGCCAGCGCGCCCGTTGAACCTGCCTTTCCGCATCGCCGCGCTACGAACCATTGTGCCACATGTCGGTGGCTGTTTCGAGGGCGATGCCGGGGCTATCTCAAAACCCTTGAGTCGCCAATGCAGGGATGCATCAATCGCGTCCTTTCACGTGCGAGGGCTGGGCCCGGAAGGTGAGGTTAGCCGCCGGCGCGCAGGGCAACGCCGTCGTGGAGATTGGGGGCGTCGACGACGCTAACGACAGAAATTGGGAAGCGAACGCGAGTGGAATAATACCGGTTACGTCGGCGACAACGGCCACTTGTGGGCAGAGGAACAGCGGTGGCAGTGGAGCCAGGGAAACATGCCGGATGCAGATGCAGTGGCAAGCGCCGCTGATAATCGGAAACAACGGAACATTCCCATCATGCTGCATGTGCAGGGGGAGTTGGGCCCATCGCGGTTAACTGCCGGGCGCTGGGGAAGAGCGACGCGAATGGCCTCTGTAGCGGAGGTGATCGCGTCGCGCACGGCCAGTGCTCCAAGGGCAAAGGCGGCGGCGGGGGCAAGGAGGGCCAAGGCGCAGGCAAAGGGCAAGGGGGCTGGGAAGCACGGGGTTGCGTTCGTGTCTCCAAGAGGGAGTGTGACGCCAGCGGGGGCAAGGGGCACGCGGCGGCCAAGTGCCCCAAGAGGCAGGGCGAATATGAGGTGAACAATTGCAGAGCAGTCAACATAAAACAAAAGCGCCGAACATCTTAGCCGGGCGACCCCAGCAGCCAGGACGCTACGGCGTAAACTTTGAAGAGAAAGAGCCTCCCAGGCTTGTAGGAAACGAGAGCCCTTCGAAGGGCCCCGACAAGTGGCAAACGCAGCAGCGCCAAATCGGAAGACATCATCCAACGGGGGAGTTGAACTCGAAGAACAGTTGCCGAACTTATTTGGAGAGAACCGCGCATGCCACGCTGACTTTGACGTTGAGTTTTCAAGGGTCATCGAGCAAGTCAGAAGCTGGTCTGACAAGCGCGCGGAAGAGCCGTTACTAGAGAGACCCGCCGGTGCTCACGCAGTTAACCCCCTCAACGTCAGCGGGAGGATGGGTCCGAAGAGTTGTCGGTTGCACGTGGCCTGGGTGCCTTTCGCGCTGCTGGGCCACCACAGGTTCTAACTCGCTTTTTTCTGTTCAGCCCACTGGGGCTCCCAAGTCAGGCAGGCGCTGCGGCCCCGCCAACGGGCCAGTTGCGCGCGACGAAGATCAGAGAGCATGCAGGAGACAGGGCGAAGAAGGTGCCGAGTTTCCTCATTGGTCCGAAAGATACCCGTACCCGGGGCCAGCCAAGGTGAGATGGGCCGTCCGGGGGAGTGGGCGCTTGCTATTGTGCCCGGTCAGCGTGCCCCGCGCGCGCCAGTGCAGCATTCGCGCGTCAAGACGCAACGGCCCGCTCGATGGTTGGGTGTCTGATTGCAGCGACAAGCGCTGGTTTTTGTTAGGGACGTCTCGGGGCATCGTGGTGCATGCGCGGCTCAAAGCCGCCCGCATGTGGCGGCGCCTGTCCCAATCGATAAAGAGTTGCATTTCCTCGCTATCCTGGCAACCAATGCGTCTGGGCCTGCCCTGAGGAACGACGTTGCAATGTCGCGCCCCCAGGGGGCCGCAGCGGCCACGTCGGGGACGGCTCTGGAGGGCATGATATGTGCTCGAGAGCGTTTTGGGCCTGCCGCCACCTCGGCTAGGTGCGGGGACCTGCCTGAAACCACCGAAATATACCCGGACCTAGCTGGGGTGGAGCTGCGGCACCCCGGCTAGGTACGGGTATGTTTTTTTGGTTTTCATGGGGCAACCGTACTTAGCTGGGGTG